GGAGGATGGAGGCAGAGGAAGGTTTGGGGGGACCCATCTCCAAAACCAGGCAGTTGTTCTGCAGTAAAGCTGACAGAGCCAAACGAGTCTATCCTGCACGAGGAGGTGAAAGCAAAGCTGCTTTCGCTGACGAGCTCGTCCAGGCTGGAGCAGGCTGTTTCCTTCCCGCAGCCCCCAGACTGGTTGGGGAAGGCTGAGCTGCCCAGACCCTGCTGCACCGTTTGCTGTTGTCTCCTGGGACTCAAAATGCTCGACAGCTACGCCAGAGAGACTCGATTTGTCTCTAACTTAGCAGGACAGCAACAATGACAGGGTGGTAGTGTTTAATTAGGTTTTCCTTTCGTTTCCGCTGCTTTTTCACTCTTTGCTTTGCTGCTGTGTCATGTTTTTCCCTTTCCCTTCTGCTCGGCACTAACCTGAAGGGATCGAAGGCAAAAGGGGAAAGGAGTGAGAAAATTCACTGTTTGAATCCACCTTCCTCTGTAACACGTGCCTGCCGGCACTCGGCAGGGAAACGGCACCGGAGAGCCGCGCTCAACGTACAGCAGAAGCGTTCCACACCTGTGCTGGTGAAGAGTGGGTGCTGTGCCCACCCACGTGTGTGTACACACACACACACACAGACACTGCACACCTCTTGTGCAACGTGTCGCATGGCTCGACTCCCTAAAGTGTGAGTTTCCAGCCTTCCGCAGATTTTTTCCTGCACTTTCGTGTTGTTTCTCTTGCCTCAGTTTCCTTTCCGACAGTCCTGCAGACAGTGACTATCCTGGCTCTGTGCCAGGGGGTAACTGCAGCAATGACCATCAGTCAGAAATAAAGCAATCCTCTTCGGAAGGAGAGCGGATGAGCTCCGAGAAGGACCCTCACACCAAGAGACAGCAACAGGCTCCTGGAGCAACAGTAAGAGCAGAACTTCAAGAGTAAATGACTGTTTTTGAGAGCCAGCGCCAGCGCAGCTGAGCCACGTGAATGGAAGACAGTTGAAAAATAAACTTCAGAGTCTTCCAAGCATTTACTTTAATAACCACCCACAGGTCCTGGCAGTAGGTTAGAGCCCTACGTCAGCAGCGTTTGCCTGGAAAAACCCGTGGGCGCTGTGCCAGCTGCGGCGACGCGCCCCGTCGCTGGTGGAGAGGAGGGGGGGAAGGAAAGCGGAGACCCTTCGCTGGTGCTGGGTGAGAATTCCTGCTCGCCTCTGCCTTCGGTGGACACACTTGTCTTCCTCATCTGCACAGCTTCCTTTGAGGGGTGGGGAACTACCCACCGCCTTGGCGAGCGCGGTGCATCGCTTCCGGGGAGGGACGGTAAGATACCCGGCTCTGCTTTCTTCTGAAAGTGCCTGTGGAAAGAACAGCACAACGCCTGTTGGCTTCCCAAGGAGAAATCCTGCCTATTCCTTCACTCATTGTCTACAGAATATGAATATTTAAGGGTGTTGGGATAACTTAAGGAATATTTAAGGTTAATTTTGGAACCTATTAACAAAAAAAAAAGGTAATTGCAGCAAAAGGTGAGCCTGTGCGTGCTGTGCTGGTGGCTGGCTAGCACCTACCTGGTGCCAACACCCTCAGGGAGTGGGGTCCAAAGACCAGAGTACACCCAAGTGGTCTGTGCTCTTACCCTTTATTCACTGTCTCAGCAAGATTTGGGATTGTCTTTTCCTCTTTTCAGGACTAGAAAATGCCTCCTTGCTGGTGGGAAGCAGGATCTCGAGGAAGCCGTCGGTGGGAGCGTGAATGAAGATGTCACAATCTGGTCCCCGATGAGCAAAGCAAGGCGGGAGCTGGCTGCTGCGTGCCTTGGGGCCGAATCCGTGTGTCTCAGCAGCCAAAGATAAGGCGGATATAGAAAGTGCTGAATTTCTGAGGATACGACAGTCCCTCAAGGAGACGCACCTTCAGCATGGCTCATAAAAGCCAAGCTGGTGGAACTGAGAAAAATGGGTCGTTTTCCTCCATCCTCTACTGTACGAGAGATTTAAAAGAAGGATCCCTGCAGTGGGTGCAAGGTAAGCGAGCGACCTGATGGTGAGGAGAAAGGCAGTGCTGAGGGCAGTGTCCTTAAGGTAACAGAAGGCAGATTTTTCAGAGCTGCTCGTTGACAGCATCTCGTTTGCAAAAGTAACTAAACATCACGGATGTTTCAGCATTTTGGGGAGGGGACGGAGACACTTTGACTTTTTGGAAAGCCTGATATATAGGAATGAATGGACACCCACCTGTTGAAAACCAGGACCCTGGAAGTCCTCTTCTCCTGCCTTTCAAAAGTCAAGAAATCTTTGGGAAACTTGACGCGTGCTTTCCAAGTGACTCCCTTCCCCGGGAACAGTTTGCTCCCTCCCTGCAGCGCTTCAAGAGCTGCCCGTGCCGAGGCAGAAGGCAGTGCCATGGCCAGCTGCTCTCACCGAGACCTCCACGCACCGCTCAGCAGGACACCCTTGGGCACCCTTTTGTGCTCAGTTTGTGGCACCTCCTTAGTGCTCAGTTTTTGCAAGGGTGAAGCATATCGTGTCGCTGCAGCAGAGGTCAAGGAGCTGAGCCCTTCTGCAAATCTTGGGTGTCTCAACTTGGCACCCAACTTGCTAGACTTTGTGCCCAATTTGACCAAAGCCATGGAGAACAGGAGAGCTGAGCCCAAGGCTGAGGCTATTTGTTTTTATTCTTGCTTATACTCACCACCTCCACTGCTCTGTGTCAGGAGGAGATAAACCTCAGCAAACAAACAGGACCTTGTTATCCTGGGGGTTTCAGATGCATCTACTCTTCCCTTTTCCACTCAATGCAGTCATGCCCTATTGTCATGTAGTTGCCTCATTTTGCTTGGCATCTCCTGATCCTGAGCAGTGAAGAGATGATGAGGATGGAGGACATAAGTGGGAGAGAAGGGAAAGGTGAGTGCATGCTATGTTTCAGCCAGCGGAGAGGTCTGGGAGAGCACAAAGTGGCAGTGGCAGCAGGAGCAGCCCCGGGGACACCTGCCTGAGCCCAGATCTGCAAAGGGGAAGGAAAGCTGAGTGAAACAGGATGTTGTCTGAACAAGCCACTTCCTTAGACCTGATCTCTTCCTCTTGACGTAGCACGGCTAGTGTAAACTCTAGGTGAATGCCAGATGGGATGCCTGGAGATCACAGCTCTCCTGTGCCACTCCAAGGCTGCCCTGCCTCAGCTCTGAGCAACCTGCTCCTCAGATCTAGGACAGGCTGTCCTCACACCTTCTAGGCTCCTGACTGCAGCTTGAGTCTCCAGATTTCATGTCTGATCCTAGTCCTAGCTGAAACTGGGAAGCTGAGAGCCTTGAGCAGAGCCGTGCTGCCCAGGAGCACTTCTGGAGCGGGGACCTGGATGTGGGAGGACCTGTGTGGCTCATGCTCCAGCTCTGCCACATCCCAGATAATGTGATTATTAGAAAGCACTGTAATTTGATTGCTCAAGGTTTTTCTTGTGGTGGGTGGGGTGGGTAGGCAATGAGGGATCTCTCTAAGAGGTAGATAGCCTTAGCAACACGGAGCAGCTTGAGTCCATTGTCCTGTCAGTTAGTGATCAGTGAGGCAAGACGTTAT